ACAGCTGCTGAGCTTAGAACGGGAGTTTTAAGCTGAAGGAACACTGGAAACTTTCCGTTTCAGTCCCTTTCACGGGGTGAATTATATGAGAACAGGCCTGTGCCTGCAATGCTCCTTTCATGTAGCCCTAAAGAAAACCGGACTGCGTTTTTTAAATCGCCCAGCAGACTGCGAGGTAAAGTCAAGGAAGTGTCCTGTATCACGTTTCACTGCCGCTGAGTGTGTCTGTGTCTCAGGCGTGTTTGTGTGAAATGCTGCTGATGGGGGGTTCACCAGGAGCACCGGGAGACAGCACCTGTGCGTTTTGTCTTGTGGGCAGTGCAGCGCAGCGAGGCCCTCCCAGGCACTGCGAAACCAGGAACGGACTTCCCAGTGAGGATCGCCCCTTCCTGGCATTGTTGCGTTTGATCCTCCTTCCTTGGCATCTGGCTGTCAGGTGTTTTGTTTTGTATTTTCTAAGCATTGCAGTATTCACACTTGTATTAGAGGACCCATTTCTGGACAGAGTTTATTAGATTTAAAACAAGAATGAGAACAAATGGTTGACTTCATTAAAAACCGTAGAATGTGGAAAGAAATTTGCTGACAGTTGAAACAGATGGAATCTGGGGTCTTTCTGTGAGCACCGGGGTGTAAAAGTTACTGTAGACCCAAACCACGAGACGGTGAGGTGGGGACTGTGCCTCTGGGGGCTCCGCCTGCCACCGAGCACTTGCTTCGGAAAAGGCTTGTAGCACAGGAGGCCTGGGGAGCGGGAGGCCTTGGGGAGCTTGTGGGGTGCTTTCCCGGGCTGGCTCACGGAGCAGCAGCACAGGGCCTGAGGATCCAGGGTGTGTGTACACGTGTGCTGCAGAGACAGAGAAACACTGATTTGACTTGGCTTTCTGTTCACAAGTTTCACCTCCACATTAAAATAAAAACATATATTTCATTTGTTTGGCTGAGAAATAGGGAGCTCCCATTTGTTGGCTCACTCCCTGAGCTGGACCAGTCCAGAACCGGGAGCTCGGTCTTGTGGCCCCACATGGGTGGCTGGGGCCCATCTACCAGTGTGATCACGGCTGTCTCCCTGGGTCTGTGTTAGTGGGAAGCTGGAACTGGATCCAGGCGCTCTGCTGTGGGTGCTGGTGTTCCCAGCTGGTGTCTACCGCTCGGCCAGTCGTGCACGCTGCGTCCCTGCACTGATCAGCCAGGACTTCTAAGCATCTGGTTCTCATAGACGATGTGGCAGTGTGACTAGGACAGGCAAAATTAAGTTCATGCCCTCTAGCCTTTGAGCTGGGTTCTTCTAAGATGCACTGGGTTTGAGTAGTCGTTTTTTTTTAAACAGCTATAGACCTTTTCCCTTTGTAGTCAGTGTTACATGGAGACTCCAACTACCCAGCATTCTACTTACAAAATGAGCAGCCTGAAAAACAAATATATTCCTAGACCACACCACTGTTGTGTATGTGCTCAATTACAGTTCCACTGTCACGAAATTGTAAGAGTTTAAAAGATTTTTATTTTGCAAGTGAGCCTTAGGACTTTTACTGTCCTAGTGACAAAAGAGCTGACAGTGATTACGGCTGTGGAAGCCATCCTTGCACACAGTGTCGCTCTCTGATTGTCTCACCAGCTCTGGGACGTCGCGTGGCTTGTGCAGCGGGACATTGGGATTTAGTTAGTTTTAGTATTTGATAATTCAGCTGTTCAAGTACCATTTTTAACTGAAAGATCATACTTGTTTACATTTAGGGGATAAGAATGTTCCTTCTAGAGTTGATGATTTGTCTTTGATATTTTATTTATTTGAAAGTCGGAGTTACAGAGAGAGGGAAAAGGAGCGCGTGCTGCCATCCGCTGGTTCCCTCGCCCACGTGGCTGCAAGCACCAGGGCTGGCCAGGCTGACGTCAGGAGCAGGAGCTTCACCCAGGTCTCCCTGATGTGTGGCCGGGGCTCAAGCACTTGGGCCCTGTTCTGCTGCTTTCCTCAGGTTAGCAGGGAGCTGAATCAAAGTGAAACACCTGGGGTAAGAGTCGGTGCCCATATGGGATGCTGGCATCGCAGGCAGCAGCCTTATCTGCTATGCCACAACGTAGGCCCGCTTCAATGTTTTAAACACAACTTGTATCTCCTTACTGAGTTCTCATGGCTAGATACCAGAGAAAGCATTGAGTTAATGAGAAAGTGCTCAATTTCAGCAACTGTTCCTTATTTCGTATAATCAGAATATCCTGTGTGAGGGGCGGGTGTCGCCACACGATAAGTGAGACTGCTGTTTGGGATGCCCACGTCCCGCATCCGAGTGCCTGGGTACCAGCTCTGGCTGGTGCAGGCATTTTAGGTGTGAACCTGCAGATGGAATCTCTCTCTCTCTCTCTCTGTCTCTCTCACTCTTTTTCCCTGTCTCTCTGTCTCTCTCTCTCTCTGTCTCTCTCACTCTTTTTCCCTGTCTCTCTGTCTCTTTCCCTGTCTGTCTCACTCTCTTTCTCTCTCTCTCTCTTTCCTGGTCTCTCTGTCTCTCTGTCTCTGTCTCTCTCTCTCTCTCTCTGTCTTTCAAATAAACAAGTAAACACTAAATGAATATATACGTATATCATGTGTGTCATCCCCCATGCAATGTATTCTGTTACAAACACAGTGGCATAACCTTGTTACAGCATATGGCAGATGGTTTAACTGCGGTCACATCAGTTGGCTTAGCTGACTCCCACCATGCTAGACAGACAGCAGGTGCAGGAAGTGGTACTGGGAGAAGCTGGGAACTCCACACAGGCCCTGTTGCTAATAAGGGACAGAATCCGGGTGTCTGGGTTTCAGATTCTGCACAATAAACAGTGTCTCCTGGAGGGCGGACTTGGTCCCCTCCAGCTCGGTCCCCAGGGAACCCACACCAGACTTCGCTCAAGGTGCCTTGGCCTTGGCTGCCCACTGGCCTGTTACTCTGGCCACTTCAGCCACACCTCTGACTCGTGTCCCCGACCTTCCTCAGGGCACCTGCAGGAGCAAAGAAATCTAGGGGACACAAGGGCTGACATTATGGAATTTCTAGCTTGTTCACCTCTGCCACGATTTGCCCCTGGCATCCTGTTGCCAACCACACAGAATCTGGTACTGAAAGTGCAGATAAACATACACTCACAAGCCCAGAGTCACTGGCTGTAGGAAGATTCGGCATTTTGTCTCCTCGGTACTCACGGGTCTGTGTATCACTATGTGTTTAGATGGTTGGGTTCCTGTAGTGTGCCTACGACCGTGGTTAGCGTGCTTTTCTCTTCTGGAGTTGTTCTCAGAGTGGAGACATCTGTGCCTGCTCTCGTGAGTCTTTATATTAAAATGGGTTTTCCCACAGCGCTAATCGAAGTGCTTGCCCAGATCATGCAGGCATAACTGAGCTGTCCAGGTGACCACTGTTGCTTCATCTTGCATTTTAGAGAGAAAAGCTGCCCTTGCAGGAGCCCATTTAGCAAGAGGAAGCCGTGGATAGCATCGGGACCATCTCGGGCCAATGACAGTGACACTCAGCTGCCCGCAGCAATTGTCCTGGCCTCTCAGACCACAGCCCACACGTTCCCCAGGGATGGGCGTCTTTCTGTGGGCCCCAGTGTTATCTTTATGAGAGCATCAGTCCCTTTAAAGTGACACTCAGGTTGCGTGTGTCTGGCCTCTGGGTTGTGACACCCACAGTGGCCTGAGGGTGACTCTGTGGCACGTCTGCACCTGCCCATCCGTTTCCCCACTTGGCTGCACGGCTCCCTTGGCCCATTCTCCTGTCCTCTCCCGCCCTCCTTATTTCAGATCATTTACCTGGCAACATGATGTCTACGCTCCTGGGAAACACCCAGCATAAGCCGTGAACCATGTCACCCTTCAGCATGTGTTTGCAGAACTCAAAGCTGCATGTTCACCTCCAACTCCAAGGGCGTGACTGGGACCACCCTCTAGGAACGCTCGGGAGGTTCCCAGCTTGGGGACGGCCTCGGGTGGTCCCTTGTCACCTTCCTGTTAGGACCTGGCTCCCGCTGAGGAAGGAGGACAGGCAGTGGCCTTGCAGCCTTCAATCCGCCCACGCGCAGCCTGGCTGAGGGTCAGAGAGAGCCCGTGGGGGGGATCATGCGACAGGGAGTGCATGATGGGATTGCAGGGCGGGGCCAAGCAGTCTCCTCCCAGGCTCCTGCCGCACAGGGCGGCTCTGGAATGTATCAGCTGTGAGTTCTGGTCACCCTCGTCTGGACAGGTGCACTCTGCAGACAGAGCTGCCCACAGGGGCTGTGCACTCAGCGTGAGGAAGGGACATCAGTATGGGGCTGCGTTAGCCTGACACTGCAGTATCCAGAGGACGCCTAATTTGTGGGTCAGTTAACTCTCAACAGCGTGTGAGTAGGTCTGACCATCACACAGACTCAACACGCGTCTTTCATCCGCCTGGAGTTCGTTCTACTGAACACACAAGTCTTCATGATACAGCAAGAGATGCTTTGTGCTATAAAACTGCTGATGGTTCGCTAGCTTGGTGATCCTACAGTTCTCTTTGTTCAGAAAAAAAAAATGGAATGGGTTTCCGTTAAACAAAAATTAACCACTGTAAAAGTTAAACAAAAATTCAACCACTGTGGCACTTCTTGCCTTGTTGGAAGCTCTTAGAGTCATGGTTTTCCTCTTTCGAATTCACAGAATTTCCAGACTTGTGTTCACTCAGTTTTCTTTTTGGGCCCGTTTTATTATTGTCTGTATTTAAAAAAATTAAATTCACATCAGTTGTTTGGTTTCCAAGGCTGACGTTGTCGAAACTGCGTTTCATGAGTGTGATTTTGCATCCGCAGCACACGGTGAGCGTTCCAAATGTGCATGGTCAGACTTCTACTGCTGGCCCTGACGATTCTTGTTTTCCACCAGGACGGCCACTGTCAACCTGGGAAGGAGCTTGTTAAACCTTGTATCCAAAACTGACCCAGGGACACCCCGAGTCCTGTGACCTCTGGTTTCTGAGCACCGTCTTGTCTGCTTCTTCTTTCAGCCTACGAGTTACAGAACTGCCCCGACCCGCCCCCATTTCAGAACGGGTACATGATCAACTCGGACTACAGCGTGGGCCAGTCCATATCTTTTGAGTGCTATCCCGGGTACATTCTCATCGGGCACCCTGTCCTCACGTGTGAGCACGGGATCAACAGGAACTGGAACCACCCGTTCCCAAGATGTGATGGTAGGTTCCCAACTTCTGGGGCCGGGCGAGCTGCTCAGGGTGCCACAGTGCATGCGAGCCAATGGGCAGGAGGCGATGATTCACTCGTGGATTCCACAAGGGATTATTGAACATCTCTTAGGATGTATTCAGTAAATATCATATACCAGTGAGTGTAGCAAGCTTACATAGCCCTTGCTCTCGAGGAAATCACAAAATCTAAATAATAAGCACAGATAATTACACTGCAGGAGCAAGCGCAGGGAGGGTGCTGTGCAGGGCGGCAGGTGCAGAGACTGTCAGCTGCATCCACCTGCAGGGGCCGGGAAAGGTTCCCCCTGTGACCACTGTTTGCACTCCAGAGACCTGAGCTCCGTTGGCGGTGGGCTCTGAGGGTCCTGGTGTTCCCCTGCGCTGAGAGGAGGAGACCCCGGGCGGAGGAGACAGGGTCGGCAGGGCTGCCGGGCACGGTCTGCCCTAGAGGAACATGAGGTGGCGCAGCCCACGGGGAGGCCGGGGTCAGGCTCTGCTCTCACTGCAGGGCCCCGTAGGAGCAGGAGTCCCGGCTTCAAATCCGCAGGGCCAGTGTTTCGGACCTCTGAGAAACTTCTGTAGTTCCCAGTAAAAGAAGCGCACTACGTATATTGTAAAAACGACGAGTTCATAAGAAACAGATGTCAACCCGGTGTTTTAGCAGTGTGGCTGCAGTCCCTTGGAATGAAAAATGAACCAGCTCTGTGCTCCTCTGAGATGCTAAACGCTGCCCCCCACCCCCACCCCCGCCATGGGGGCGAAGGCAGCGCTCCCAGGCGTGGGTTCCCACTGAAGAAGTCAAAGGAGCACGGAGGGGGCTTTGTGGCTCCACTTCCCTCTGCTCTCCACCCTGTCCCACGTAGAATCAGCTCTGAGACAACCCGTCAGCCGTTTCAGACACTCGTCCTAGTCCAGTGCCCACTGAATTACCTGTAACACAGCAGCTGATAAATCAACTCGAGAGCCACAGCAGGAGCCTGTGTGCTGTTTGCCACAGACACACTTCTCAGCTCCCCTGGTGACACTCCATTCAAGCCAGCGCTCATGCATTTAAATTTGTAAATTACTTGAAATGATCACAGGTGAGATCTTTTCTCATTTGCGGTTTCACCCTGGATCCTTTGAACGTCTTGGTGAGCGGTAGATTCCCTGGCTTGATAGGAAAAAACAGTTCTGTAATTTGACCTTCTGGTCTTTGCATCCAGTGTAGATAGCTGCGTTGACTTAGAGTCATCACAGTGAAAGCAACAAGACGCATCTTTGTGCAGCATGGCCTGAAGGTGCTGCTGTGTTCTACCCAGAGTGCGTCCTGCTGGAGGCCAGGGTCCCTCAGACGGTCAGCACTGCCCCAAGGCTGGACACTCATAGAAGAACTCACCGAAAGCTGTTGTGCTCAGAGCTCCTTTGAATAAGAGGGAAAGAACACGTGGAAATCAGGAGAAAGCGGCCGGCACTGCAGCTCACTAGGCTAATCCTTCGCCTGTGGCGCTGGCACCCTGGGTTCTAGTCCCGGTCAGGGCGCTGGATTCTGTCCCAGTTGCTCCTCTTCCAGTCCAGCTCTCTGCTGTGGCCCGGGAAGGCAGTGGAGGATGGCCCAAGTCCTTGGGCCCTGCACCCACGTGGGAGACCAGGAGGAATCACCTGGCTCCTGGCTTCAAATCAGCACAGCGCGCCGGCCATATCGGCCATCTGGGGGGTGAACAAATGAAAGGAAGACCTTTCTCTCTCTTTCTCTGTCTAACTCTGCCTGTCAAAAAAAAGGAAGAAAGGAAGAAAGAAAGAAATCAGGAGAAAATACATTTAGGCTGGAGTCCAGCGGGGCAGCTGGCTCTCTCAGACCTGCTGTGTGGTAAAGTCCAGAGCACCCCAGGCTGGGCGTTGGTACCCAGAGCCTTCCCTGGGCTTTGCTGTGCAGCCTGCTGCGCGGGGTGTCCTGTGGGTGACCTCGGGCTGCGGGTGCCCTGCGGGCCCCAGTCTAAATCCAAGCTGGGTCTCTCTGACGTGACAGTGGATCCAGCCTCACATCACAAGAAGGCTCGCCCATCAGTTGTGCCATCCTCGTTTTCCAGAACCAGATGGTCAGACCTCTCTGGGCAAAGCTGGGTTCTTTTGCTTGTTTGTTTATTTTTTGAAGATTTTTTTTTTCTATTGGAAGGCAAAGAGAGACAGAGAGATCTGTCTGCTGGTTCACTCCCCAGATGCCTGCAGCAGGAGCCAGGACCCCAGCGGGCACCCCAGTATCAGATGCAGGTGTCTCAAAAGGCAGTTTATCTCCTGAAATTCGAGGGCACCCCAAGGCTGTCTTCATGCCTCATGGACTGTTACAGTGCCTCTCTTCCTTCCAGTAGTGTCATTAACAGAACACAACCGTCGGTTCATGAAGGAAACACTGGAAGTGGTTGGAGCCATTACATAACGCATTTTCTAAGAACCACTCAATGCATGTTCTATATCTTCTTCATATTGGAGTAAATTTTGAAACTTTAAGCCAAGGGTATGATTTGAACACAAATGAAAAATGGAAGAGTCTGTTTCCCGAGAGACTGGCAGTCCAGGTGTGTGCAGTATGCTTGCCTGTCTGGTGAGGTGGGAGGAGGTGACTGTGCAGCGTGAGGTGAGAGGGTTGCATGGCAAGGAGGAAGCAGGGAGACAGGCCCGATCCTTGGGGTCTGTGTCTCTGTGTCTGTCTCCACCCTGCAAGCCCTGTCTGATTCAGTCGAGTCCTGGAGTCCTCACTTCCACACCTGCCATACTGGATTAACCTCCAGCTGTAATCCATTAACCACTAGCGTTAATCCAGTATCTTTAGCATGAGACCGTGGGGACCAGGCCTTTAGCATGTGGTCACTAAGATCTAAACCACAGCAAGCATGGTGTACCACTCCAGATTTATAACTGCTGTTTAAGGCAACTAGACTGAAATCTAGCTTCAAAATTTGTCTCTGTGGACTTCCAGAGAACTTCAGAAAAGTCATAGATAATTTGAACAATTTCTGAATATCTTTTCAAAAAATGGGCTAGTTCTGATTAATGTTCAAGAATTCTAAATCTTATGGTACCTATCTCCAGATATATATTAAATCAATCTGTATTTCTATGCTGAAAATATTTATAGTAGGGTACTTCTAAAAGGTCATGGAAATGGAATTAAAAGATAATTAATTTAGGGTAAACTATATTGAAATCCATGCAAAAGGGTCATGATGTTCATGAATAAGATGTAAAAATTGTGCATGAATTTTAAAATATTTTTGCATCAAAATAAACTTTAATTCAATTTCTCCATAAGTTTTTGACATACCCTAGCTTAAACTGCATAGGAATCTTACTTCAAATTAGTATAGTCTAAATTATTCTTTAAAACTATGATCAGAAAATACGTTGATTAAGGTAAACAAATGAGAAAATAAGTCTGAAATTGATGCAAGAAATTGGAGACACTATTTTTCTGCTAGCACCAAAATTATGCAGAACTTTCAGTTCAAAAATGTTTTATAATTGCCAAACTAGTATTAAGACTGTGGTTTATTAATTTGTGAAATGTAATTTGATAACTGAATGTTCAGGCACACTCACAAATATGGTTTTAAAGTTTTACATATTTTGTTGGCTAGATTAAATATTTTGCTGAGCAGTAGTTTAAATGTTTTGTTAATGCTTTATCACCAGAATACTTATATAGATATGTTCTTCAGGTGGTTTCATTTAAGAAATGTAAGCACCACCATAATAGCTCACTTGGAAATGCAT